TATAGGACTTGTCAAACAGGGTCTATTATGTTACTGTTGCCATAACCATTCCCTTTGTCTTATGTTCATCTTGATGACCTGGAAGAGAGATAGCAAAGATCACACATACCCCACTAGCTGGTTCTCATAGCAGGTGGTACGTGCCTGATGCTAGTGGTCATGTGGGTGGGGTGACAAGGTGAGTCTCATTGGGAAATACTTTATGACACAAGTTTAGACAGGGAGATGGGATATTCAAAAGGGTGTGGTCTCTAGGTTCACATTTATGCAGACATGTGACATTGAGAGGCTTATCCGCTCAACTCCATTCTGGGAGTGATGAGCACATTGGTTTAGTCTCCTGGAGGAAGAGCTTTAGCGTTAGGCCAATCACTATCTGCTTTTCCTTCTTGAGACCAGAACCATTGTAAATTCCTGGAAGAAGAATTGAATTGAACTTGACATTAAGGAAAGTGTGAAGGTAAGGATAGTTTAACTAAGAAAACTCTTTCAAAACAGTTGAAATTTGGGAAAGTGCTGGTCTGAAATGACGGAGAATCAAAAAATATGAAAGCTATTTGTGCTCGTCTATGCTTTGCTTCGAGTGTTAAGGCAAACAGTGAAGTGAAGCTCAATAAATAGTTCAAACTGGCTTAGGGTATTGCAGTTACAGATGTGTCTTGAACTATGAGTCATTAATTAAGATTTAGGAATACTTTATTTTAGTGATGGCTCAAGGTGAAATTTAAGTTTTCTCCCATAATATTCATTTTATATTTATATGTAGTTGAGATTCCACCAGGAAAACTAGAGTGTTTTTCTCTGGGCTACTGCCCTTTGTCTGTGTGCGGGCCTAGTCTGTGGTTTATGTGACTGTAACCATGGACTGGTGGTTGAGAATTAACACCTAACACCTGATTTAGATCTTGGAATTTACCTGATATTATCTCTTAAGTGCTTCAGTTTTAAAATATTTCCCTTTTGGCTGTTGTGTTGCGTGTGTGTGTGTGTGTGTGTGTGTGTGTGTGTGTTGAAGGGGCAGTCAGGAAAAAAAAGGGCCAGTGCGGGTATCAGGAGTTCTCTCTCCTCTTTAGCCTAGAGGATGATGCCTAGTGTCATTAGGAGGAGGGGGTGCTGGAGGGGGGAGGGGTATGAATTTTGAGGTGGAACTGCAGCTAGAAGCCAATGATTGAATCTTGCATCTTTTTAGGCCTGAGTGAACCACTTTCCCTTTGTGAGATTGTAAGGGCTGAGATCAGGCAGGGAGGATGTTGAGAAAGGACCTTTTTGTTTCCTTTCCTGGAGATTTTCCCTGGAGTTTCTGCTGGCTGTTGGGCAGGTGTGCCCTCCTTTGTGTTTGAGGAAGGCCCTTTCTTCTTCCAAGGGGAATGTGTCTGTTCTTTGGATTAAGATCCAATCAAACTCTGGAACACTTGGCTTGTACAAGTAATAAGTTGTAGCTGAGGGGAATAGTAAAACAGGGGATAAAAAATAGACTTATGGAAATGGTGTTCTAGGAGATGACATTGAAGTGATATTTGAGGATCTAGGCAACTCTTTCTCACCACATTGGAAACGAACTAAAATGACTGTTACTTGCAGTGCCAGAGCGACTGGGTTTGTTGGGTCAGGCAAATACAGCAGGCCTGCTCTGACTTTGTTTTGTTTGGGTCATTTAAACAGAAAATGACAGGAACTATCAGATTGTTTTAGATTAAAAGGGTAAAGATACATAAGTTTTATAGCTGAAGTAGAAACAGGGACCCATTTTTTTCCCTCCCATTGCAATCACTTCCCATCCCTCTTTAAAAGCCTTCAACCACTCCCCAGTGCCTCCGTGTCCTGTCCCAATGGCTGTGCGGAGACAGGTTCGCTCAGCTCTTGGGGCAGCGGGAACCTGTTCATTGGCTCCAGAGGTGGGCTAGGAAGATATCTGGCCTGCAGCTGCACATTGAGGAAGGGTTTAATGTTATTTAATCTTTCATGTTATCTTCCATATTAGGTATATACTTTATGTGTGTGTTGAAAGTATTTATTAGGTAAATCTAAACATTTAAAAACAACCACAGTTTTTGTAACCCTGTTTTGGCATTTTCTTCCTTTTTTAATATACAGGAGCCTCAAAAAATGGCGGCACCTACCCTCTGAGAGGCCCCAGGTGCTCACTGCACAATACAGTAATGAACACAGAGGCTAGTGGAGAGGACAGACCTTCACTAATGATCACACAAAGAATTCATTAAAGTGAGAGCTGGGTGCCTTGATAAAGAATAAAAGGGCTTCTCTCCTGTGTGGCCATCAGGGAGGATTCCCCAAGCAGGTAGAATGAAGGGGTTAGGGGAAGTTGCCAAATTTGAGGTAGGGGAGGGTAAGGCAGTAAAAACAATAGGTCTCAATAACTAATTGGTTTTCAGGGATATGGGTGAACTCTAGGATAATTTTCATATTTTGAATTTGAGCAAGTGGGTGAAGGGTGGTGTTAACCAAAATCATTAACTGGGGAGAGACATTTTCTGGTGGCAGTGAGTGGATACTATGATTGGTCCAGTTTTGGTGTATGTTACCTATGAGTGCGCTTTGAGACATCAGAATGGAGATATTTTCAAAATAAACAATCATGTATTATAAGAAGGGCTTAGTTGTACTCTTGTTAATTTAGAACTTCATAGTGTGTAAGGCACTATCCCAGTTCAATGGGGAGTAGAAAGAAGGGTTTGTTGTCCCTGCTTTCAAGAAGCCTACTTTCTAACTGCAGTCAAGAAATTAAATAACCACAGGAAATTCCAGTAACCCTCTAAGACAACAGCAGAAGAAATGTTCTAGACTGGACATGAATAATGGCCAAGAAAATTATATAGATGCTTCTTGCTTTTCTGCAGTTAATACCTAACTTTTTAATCTAAATACCTAAAATTTTTCATCTGGGTTTGCTTTTGTTTTACTTTAGTAGTTTGAGTGGATCGAGAATAACATAAGCTTATTTATTACTTACTACTATGGGTTAGTTGCATTGGAGTAACTCAATTTAGTTTTACTAGGTATGTACTGTTATTTGTCCAATTCTATAGAAGGGAGAAGTGAGGCACTGAAAGGTTAAATAAATTGCCCTCAGTCATGTAGCTAGTAAATGATAAAGTCGGGATTCATATCTAGTTAGTCTAAATCCAAAGCCCCTTCTCAGTTTTTAAAAACCCTATTCTTTTCACTACGTATATCCCCTGTTATGTAAGTCACTTGAAAACTTTTTAGAGGCTGTGAAATTTATTTAATCATTCTCCTAATTTTAGACATATATATTGTGTTTAATTCGGTGCCTATATTTCCAATTATATTTTTAGGATAAATTCCTGGAAGTGAGTTCCTTGTACCAAGGAATATAATACCTGTAAGGCTCCTTAAAACATATTTTTTTTTCCAGAGAAGTTCAAATAATGTACAGTGTGAATGTATTTTTCAATACCACACAATAGTATTATTCAATTCCATAGGGTTGCCTAAACCAAGACAAATAGGAGAACTCAGTAATACAATGATAAAGATGGTGGTTAGGATAATGAATCACAGGATGCTAGAGCAGGAAGGAACTTCAGGTATTATCTAGGCCACCTCTTTCTTTTATTAAGAGCTGAGGCTCAAACAGGTTAAAGACATGCCCCAAATCATACTACTAATTACAGTCAGAGTTAGAACAAGAACCTGCACTTAGCACTGTGTGATTATATGGAGTCAGAGTTTCTTGGATGGTTCACATGAGCCAGGGTTGTGCTGAAATGTCCATTCAGGGTCTTGATGTATTTTGTCACATGAGTTAGACTCACAGTCCCCCTTGAAAGTTCACAGTTGCATGAGAAGGATGTGGAAGTAACCCAAAAAGGTCTGCCCTGAATCAAGAGGCCCAGTACCCACCCATGGAGATAAAGAATGCTGCTGGGCCAGGGGAACACTGAAGCCTCCTTTCATAGTAGGATCTAGAAGGATGATTCTGAACTTTTTCTTCAATGTTTCATTGAAACACATATTTGACGGCACCATATATTTGAACAAAGGGCTGCTCACATTAATTCAAAACTTACATAATTCAAGACTGTTTTCTGTAGCACTGACTGAGAAAGGAAGACATTTCTGTTTGTTATTGCTCCAACACACAGCAATTGTGTAAATAGAATTTTCAGTTGATTTGGCATCGTAGCCATCTGGGTCACCTGAGTGGTTAAGGTGTTAAACATCAAAGTTTCAATGACTTGGCACAGTCAAAGGTTGTTTCTTGCAAAATCTTAAACAGGTTGGTTGGTCATCCTCTGTGTCGCAGACATGCCATGTCAAGATGGGCAAGACAGGGGAAGAGAGTGAAAGGAGTAACATAAACTGCTAACTGACTCAGCCTGAGGGTGGGAAATGCCACAGTCCATTGGCCAGAGCTAGGAACATGGTTCTGATTGAACGGGAGGAGAGGCTGGGAACAGTGTGTGGAGGAGCACATGGACAGTTGATGGGCACTAATAGTCTTCTGCAAACATTTTAATTCTTGATACTTTGAGTTACCTACTTAAAAAATTTATAGGCAATTTTATATCATTTCAAGCTTTAAACATAAAAGTAAAACTTTAAGATTATTTTTCTTCAAATATGCATGAGAAATCCTTTTGGGCTTCCTGTTAAAAACAATGAAATTTTTGCTTAATAGTTGTGAGATTAAGGTAAGTCATTTAACTTCTCTCAGCCTGTATCCCAGTTGAAAATGGGAATTGGTCTCTCATTCATGGGTATGTTATAAAAATCAGGTGAAAGATCTCATGTAAGACACTTGGCACAGTGCCTTGAACAAGGTAGGTGTTCAAAGACTGAATTTTTTTCGTACTGGTTTTGATATTGTAGTGGATCTACTACTGTTGACAGTAATACCATTTTATCATTTGAGTCAGTGGTGTATCCATGATCATGAGAAGACAGAGAATAAATGACATTTTGGCTAAGTTCTGGAAATAAAATCTCTCCATCTTCTGTATGTTCTTATCTTTTAGACATGGGGAGTTTCAAAGGTCACGCCCTCCCTGGAACCTTCTTCTACATCATCGGCATTTGGTGGACTCTAAAGACTGTTCTGAAGTATGCCTGCAAAAGGCACAAGCGGACTTCCTATCTTGGTTCCAAAGCGTTATTCCATCGAGTAGATATCGTGGAGGGAATCATACTAATCTGCATGGCTTTAATTGGTGAGTGGACTATTTCTGTATTCCCTTTTCTCCTTTAGGATATTATCCCATGCAAAGAGATTTAATATCAAATCAAGAAATTGCTAAAATGGAATTTTTATTTGAAAATATCTCTGAACATATATTCTCATTGGAATTGCTATCTTGTATAGTTATTAGAAAGTGATACTTCACATTTATACAAAGGTTTGTTCCTTAATGAGTTAATGATGGTTATTAACTTGTCTATCTACTCAAGGTTGATTTCCTTTATACAATTGGCCGGAGCCTCTGAAATAATTTTATGCCAGTTATTCTGATTCCTGAAAGACTAAACTCTATCAGAAACCATTTTTCAAAACAACACCCAAATAATCAAGTAATTATGGGAAGGCTTCAGTAATAACCATTGGTGGTAGGCTGTGCAGAGGGTTAGGCTGAAGAGGACTTGCCTTATGCACTTGTCCTCTGTTGTGTCATTTCTGAACTGGAGAGGGAAGTTAGGTCAGGTGACTCCCAAGGCCTTTCCGTGGACTGTAAGAGTCTGTGAAAGTGTTCTGTGTTTTTAGAATTCCACTTCAGTCTCTCCTTTATGAAGGGCAAAACTTCCTAATGTCCCTTTGGATTTCTTCATGCCTAATTCATGGCAATAGGTCTTTGCTCTGGGCATCAAATTCCAAAGCAAAAATTTCCCAAGGGAGAAATTTCCATGGCAACTTTTTTAGACTAACAAATAAAGCAGCATTTTAACAAAGTCTAACTGTCTGTGCAGCTGACTAGACCATAGGCTGTATCTGGCTGTGCTTTCTCAGTTATCTTTAATTGCAGAAAAGCTGAACTCTGGCATTTTTATGCTGAACCAAGCACAGCCCCCTATTTTGTGGCAGCTACCCAGAGATACAGTATGTAAGAAGGAAGTAATCATCCTCTGTGGGACTGATCTTACACATCATCCAGGAGACTAAATCATTCAGGGTTTATTTAGTCGTTAGATTAAAATTGGAATTAAGATCATCAGTGAAACTGGTCATGGAACTAAGGTCTTCAGCTTTAAAGATCTGAAATAGCTTTTTGACTAAATCTATTATCTTTGATTAGAAGTGATTATCCAAAGTAATATTTGAACCTCTAAAACAAGCACAAACCACGAGTGCTCATCTGTTAGGGAACAACCCAGAATGAGAAACTAGTGTCATGAAAGGACCCTAGACTGGACTAAGCAGTGAGCTAATCCTCCAGCATCTTCCTGCTTTGTCGCTGAAGTTATGAAGAGAGTTGCTAAGACTTTAACATGTTCTTCTACAGGTATGCTGGGGGAACAGTTTATTACTGGAGGGCCCTACCTGTCTTTGTATGACTATAAAAAAGGCCAGTGGGTCCAACTGCTGGGCTGGCATCATACCACCATGTACTTCTTCTTCGGGCTGCTGGGAGTGGCACACATCTTATGTTCTACCATCAGTTCAATTCCAGCCTCTTTAAGCAAGTTAATGTTGTCAAACGCCTTATTAGTGGAAGGTAAGTATGAGTGAGTATTTTCCTGAACCTTTCCCTATTATTGCTTATTTGTCTAACCTTTTATACTATTTTTTTAGTGTCCTGGCATAGCCTTGGTCCATAAGGTTATCAATTTGGGCCACGTTGAACTATGTGATATCCTAGGCAGGTGCCAAAGATTTTTCTTCCCTGCTAGCTCATTTTGTAAAGCGGAACAAGCACAATCATTCAAAGTGCTTTGCTCACATTTCCCAGTTGTCTTGAAGAACCAGCTGCCATGGTTCTTTATCTCTGGGTTATCCTAGAGATTATCATAATTTCTGCTTTTAAAAGTGGTAGGGGAAAATGGAGACAACTGTACTTGAACAACCATAAAAGAAATAAGAAAAGCTGACATTTCAAAAAAAAAAAAAAAAAGAAAAAGTGAAACTGAGCTCAGAATAGTGATACATGAATATCCTGAAATGAGAAGACAGAGCAGAGTAGCTTCTCCCACCTGCTAAGTAGCCTTTTAAATATCAACACAGTAACACTCCACCATTATACGGTAATTAGGGTCCAAAGTGTTCTGTCACATGAAAATATGAGGTCCTGTTTTTGAGAGATTGATGAGGAACAACATTTTTGTTCAGTTGATCTCCCTCTTACTATATGGGGAAACACTGAAAACAAGTGTTTCATGATTTGTTTTCATTTACTGTTATTTGTAAGAAATGGATCCACTGTGGAACTAAAGAAGCCCCAAATTACCAGGAGGCAGTCGTTTCCTCACTGTCCACCTTCCTCCCACATACAGAGCTGAGAACTTTTGCCAACCTCTCTTTGAGAACAAGGGCTAGATAAAAAGGGGCACCAGCAAGCAAGAACCTGAATCACAGGGTGCTATAATATTTTAAATAAATATGTTTTCTTTTTCACCTAAATAAAGAAGAGGATAAAGCTGTACTTTTTCCATGAGATTAGAAAAATGTAGTTAGCTTCTACTTCTTGGGAGCTTCCACAGTACCTTATGATTTATGTATGTATGTGCTTCCTCCAATGGACCAAATTCCTTAAGCTGAGGTTTTGTCCTCCTTCCTCTGTGTACTCGCCCTGACTCCTGCTGCCCACACCCACCACAGTTACTATTCATCCCCCTGCACAGAAGATGCATGGAGATTCAGTTAGCCGAATGTGTCAGGGTGTGTTAGAAGAAAGAATAAAGGCTGGGGAAGGGAAAAGGAGTGTTAGATTTCCTAAAGAGGTAGCAATGACTCCTAATATACCATTATTGTGAGAAGCTGGGAAGCAGTGGGCACCAGATATTCTGGACAGATGTGTGTATGTGTAAAGTTCTGTGGAAGATGGGAAGGGGAGAGAGGGAGGGAGAGAGATTTCATTAAAGAAGACAAACTGTTTTTCTCCGTCAGCTTTTATTTTTTACAACCACACTCACGGTCGGGACATACTGGACATCTTTGTGCACCAGCTCCTGGTCTTGGTCATCACTGTGGCAGGCCTTTTGGCTTTCTTGGAGTTCCTCATTCGCCATAATGTGATTTTGGAGCTTCTGCGTATAAGCTTTATCCTGCTTCAGGGGAGCTGGTTCTGGCAGGTGAGTTGGGGCCTCCAGTCAATGCACCTAGTGTCTTCATCTATAGCTTTCTCTCTCTGTTTGGTGGGGCACTTTGCTCCAGAACCCAGAGACTTCCTTCTGATGAGCTGCTGCAGTGAGAACGTGGGCCTTTGACAGCAGCCCCAGTCGGAGCAATGAGAGAGCAGTGGGGAAGGGAGTGGGGTGTGTGCATCTTCATCACACACCAAAATATCCACTACGTGGGAACTCTGAGCTGGTGCTTTGAGAGGGAAGCAGTTCCCGTTGCTAAAGCAACTTACAGACTAATGGGTAATAAGCTCAGGAAATATATGAAAGGAAGGGAATGGAGGAAACATTTATTGAGAAACAAGTATGCACCAGCCGCTGTTCAGGACGGTCACACACACATTGTTTCATTATGTCCTCACAATGCCTTGTAAGTTAGGTATTATCAAAGAGATCCAGTACTTGTCCAGGGTCACACAGTATTGGAACTAGAATCTGAATGTGGGTGCCTGACCACAAATCCCAGGTTCTTTACATTTTACTCTGTCAAATCCCTGACTTCACTGTGTTGTTGGAAAACTGTATTCAGTGAACACACATTTTATAGAGGACTGGAAATCATAATCCAATATCTATCTACAGATGGAAAGACTGTCTGGGGTGAAAAGTCAATGTAATGTAATTAGTAAAGACTTCTTAGAAGTGATTTTTAGTCCCCAGGGAGCAGGGATTTGAGATCTTGCGGTTATTTCAGGGTCTTGAATTCGCACGAGGAGCGAGATGAAGGCACTGGTAGACACCAGGGAGAGAAACACCAAAACGGGCTAGGAAACGTGATGTTTAAGCGTGTGCAGGAGTAGAAAGGCTGTCGGAGCAGAGACTAGTGAACAGGGGCTAAATTTAAAGGCTATTTTGAAGAAAAAATAATAAAAAACAAATAAAACATGTCCTATAATGAGATAAAATTGATAATTGGTGAATTTAACCAGTTTACACAGAAGTTGTATTTTTAGATTTTTATCATCTGCTGGGATCCTAAATGCAATGGAATATAAAACATTATTATGCATTCTATGTCTCCTGGTTGGAGCATCACCATGTGCATGTGTTATCACCTATTCACAGACAAAAATAAAGCTAGATTGTAAAAGAGGTAACTTCTGGTCAAGATGACACAGTGAGTTTATACTTCAGTGTATTGCTTCTGTTTCAAACACATAACAATGTCAGGTAAAATATCAAAAATACTTATAAAATAAAAAAATTAAAGGAAATAAATAAATAAATAAATAAATAAATAAATAAATAAATAAAAAGAAAGAAAGAAAAAAATACCTAGCTTCAATTAAACAGTATGAACGAAAGCAGAGCACGCCCCCTTGTGGGCCAGGCACAGAATAGACTCGCAGCAGGAGGAGCACGAGCAGGGCTGCAAGCCTGCAGGCTCCAGGTTGACAGCAGACACTGGTGGTTGGTTATTTGGTTCCAGTGAGAGGAACTAAAAGAAAAAAAAAAGTTTCTCTTAAGGTGAGGGATAATGCCAGGCTTTTGAAACACTTTAACTGTATTGTTTACATATTCTAATTCCTTTAAAATTTTTTCAATTACTTTAGTTGATATTCTATATTAATTTGTATTAGTTTCAGGTGTACAGTGTAGTGGTTAGACAACCATATGCTTAACAAAGTGATCTCCCTGGTGTTTTCAGTACCCACCTAGCACCATACATAGTTATTACAATATTATTGACTATATTCCCTATTCTATATTCGACATCCCCATGACTATTCTGTAAAGGCCAGTCTGTAGCTCTCAATCCCTTCATCCCATTTGTATCTCACTTTTTGATAGAGGTCTGTTTACGTTTTATATTATAGTTGTGGGTTTGTGAATTTCTCCTTATTTTCAGTTTTTGCTTTGTTATTAGACTATATTCTCTTTTTTTAGTGTTTTTGAATTGAATGCTCATTTATTTTCAACCTTTCTTGTTCTTAGATATACTTAAGGCTATAGATTTTCCTCAATGTACTACTATAGTTACATCCCATAAGATTTGATATATGATAGTTCATCCTTGGGTAATTTTAAATGTTGCATTTTCCATGTGCTTTCTTCTTTATTTAATTGTTTTAAAAGATTTTGTTTATTTATTTTTAGGGAGAGGGGAAGGGAAGGAGAAAGAGAGGGAGAGACACATCAATGTGTAGTTGCCTCTCATGCGCTCCCTACTGAGGACCTGGCCCACAACCCAGTAGGGTTGTGCCCTGATTGGGAATTGAACTGGCAACCCTTTGTTTCACAGCCTGCGTTCAATCTCCTCTTCTTTAATATGTGAATTATTCATGAGTGCACTGTTAAGTTTCCAGAAATATCCTTTTTCTTCTTCCTACTTATTCTTTTCTACTTCCTACTTCATTTCCAACTTAATTGCTTTGAGCCAGAGAATATATTCTCGTTGAAATGTGTTGAGACTTTCTCTAGTCCATTGCCCGATGTCAGTGGCAGCAAATGTTCCACGTACATGAGAAGAAAATATATTCTGTTTTGGAGGGATTGGGATTCCTATACACTTACTACATTAAGTTTGTTAAAGAAATAAATATTCAAAAATGAAGCTAGAAAGTAAAAACAAAAGGGAAACTAAAAGAGTTGAAAAAATAATAAAGTGCAGAATTAAACTAGTTAATGTTCCATTAATAATTAATTAAATATTTGAGGGAGGAAGGTGTGGGCTGTCACAACTGAGAGTTGACTGGGTTAATGTTGCCCCTTTCGGCAGAGAAATAATGTTTTCTTATTTCCCCCAAAACTTTCCTGAGGAAGAACTATGAGGTTGAAGTCTTTGGGCATGAATCTGTGATTATTTAAACTTTTTTCTACTTATCAATATGTCCAGACTAGTTTCTTTTTTTTTAACTTGGTGGCCAGACTCAATAATGTATGAAGGCTTAAGGAAAAATGAACATTTAACATCAGTGCAAACACACACTGGCAGGAAAGGAAGGGTTAGCATAGGAAAGGATGAGACCATTAGATTCTGCTGAAAGGGAAAGAAAAGTCTGGAGCCTTCAGAGAATTTAATATGCTTCCATGTTTTGTTGCAATGTGTGATGTATGAGTGTTTATGGATAAAACTGTCTCAAGTTAATGTTACAGTGATTTGCTTTTCACTATATTTTCTTCTTGCTACTTCTCCATATATGCTTAAACAAATGCATAAAAAATATAAAGACATTAGAGAAAATGCACAGACTCTTAGAACCATGAGACTCATAAACAAAATCAGAAATGAAAGAGAAGTTACCACAGACATCACAAAAATACAAAGGATCATGCTAGAATACTATGAAAGACTATGTGCTACCACCAAATTCAATAACCTAAACGGAATGGGTAAGTTCCTAGAAACATATAACCTTCCTAGACTCAATCATGAAGAATTGGAAAATCTAAATAGGCTGATCAACAGTGAGGAAATTGAAACAAAACCCATCAAACTGTATACTTTCACTGCATGTAATTTATTGTTTGTCATTTATATTTCAGTAAAGCCATTAAAACTATCACCTAGCTCTTTCAAAAAACAAAGCAACACAAAATAAAACAAAACCTTCCCCAAAGTAAAAGTCCAGGATCAAATATCTTCACTGGTGAATTCTACCAAGCATTCAAATATTTGATACCTATCCTTCTCAAACTCTTCCAAAAAATTGAAGAAGGGGCAGTACTTCCTAACACACTCTGTAAGACTCATGTAAACCTGATGCCAAAACCTGGCATGGATAACACATACACAAAAGAAAACTGCAGACCAGCATTTCTGATGACTACAGATGCAAAAATCCTGAACAAAATGCAGCAAATCAAATACAACAGTGCATTAAGAAAAGAACACATCACATTCAAGTGGGGTTCATTGCAGGGGCTCAAGGATGGTTTAGCACATGCAAATTGATCGATGTGATTCATCACATAAACACAACAAAGCATAAAAATCACACGGTCTTATCAATAGATGCAGAACAAGCATTTGCTACAACATCGATATTATTATTAAAACACTCAATAAAATGAGTATAGAAGGAAAGTATCTCAACATAATAAAGGCCATACAGGACAAACTCAGTCAATATCATTCTCAGTGGTGAAACACAGAGCGCTTTCCCTCTGAGATCAGGAACAAGACAAGGATGCCCCCTCTCACCACTCTTATTCAACATAGCTCTGAAAGTCCTAGCGAGCAGTCAGGCGAGATAGAGAAATAACAGTCATCCAAATGAAAGAATAAGTGAAAGTACCACTTTTTGCAGATCACATGATTCTGTGTATAGAAAACCTTAACGACTTTGCCAAAAACCTATTAGCAACAAGAAACAAATTCTGTAAAGTTGCAGGATAGAAAATCAATGTACAAAAGTTCATGGCTGTCCTATGTACTATCAATAAAATTTCAGAAAAAGAAGTAAAAAAAAACTAATTCCTTTTGCATTTGCAACCAAAAGAATAAAACACCTAGGAATAACTTAAAGGATGTGAAGGGCCTGTATACTGAAAATTGCAAAGCATTATTAAAAGAGATGGAAAAAGACACAATGAAATGGAAAGATATTCAGTGTTTATGAACTGGAAGAATCAACATTGTTAAAATGGCCATATTAACCAACGCAATATACAGATGGGTATTTAATGCAATACCCATCAAAATTTGATGTTATTTTATAAAGAAATAGAACAAAAAAACCCATCAGATTTGTAGGGAACTAGAAAAGTCCCTGATTAGCCAAAGCAACCCTAAGAAAAAAGAATGAAGCTGGAGGTGTCATATTACCTGACTTCAAATTATACTACAGAGCAGTGATTATCAAAACAGCATGCTATTGGCAGAAAAACAGGCACATGAACCAATGGGAAAAAATTGAGAGCCTAGAAGTAATCAGTTTTGAAATTAGAAAATATAAGTCTTGCAACTGTTTTCTTCAAGGTTGTTTTGGCTATTCTTGGTCCCTTGCAATTCCATGTGAGTTTTAGGATCAGCTCTCCATTTCTGCAAAAAAGGCCATTGGGATTTCGGTAGGAATTGCACTGAAGCTTTAGTTTGCTTTGGGCATTTTTGCCATCTTAACAATATTAAATCATTCAGTCCATGAATATGAGATGTAGATTTATTTATTTAGATCATCGTTGATTTCTTTCAACAATATTTTGTAGTTTTCAGTGCACAAGTCTTGAACCTCCTTTATTAAATTTATTTCCAAATATTTTATTCTTTCCGATACTATTGCAAGTGGAATTGTTTTCTTAATTTTTGGTTTGCTCATTGAATGTGTATGAAAATACAATTGACTTTCACATGTTGATTTTTGTATCCTGCAAATACACTGACTGTTAGCTCTAATGTTTTTTTTTGTGTAGGTTCTTTAGGGGGGTTTATATACATGTCATCTCTGAATATAGGTAATTTTACTTCTACCTTTGCCACCCAGATGTTATTTATTTTTCATGCCTAGTTTCCCTGACTAGAATTTCTAGTATAATGTTGAATAGAAATGGTGAAATCAGACACCTTGTCTTGATCTTATGGGAAAATCTTTCAGTCTTTCATCATGGATTATAGTGTTAGCTGTGGGCATTTACTTATTTTAAAACATTTTTACACTCTAATTTTGAAGTAACCAGGTGAAACTATACAACTTGCAACCCAAAGCACATTCTCCAAAAGTCTACCAATCCCCAGAGGTGATTACTATTCATATTTTGAAATTGATCTTAAAATGTCCTTAATTTCTTGTGGCAAAAACACAAGCTACTAGGTACTGTCTATATTACTAAAACAAGCAATAAAGCCTGATGTCTTATCTGTAATATTTCAGATAATGGAGTTGTCTTAGCTCCCATTAATCTTGGAACCAGGTGTTTTGAAAAGTAGCTGATTATTTTCATGTGTGCTTTTTGTTTTAAATTGCAGATTGGTTTTGTCCTTTATCCTCCCAGCGGAGGTCCTGCATGGGATCTGATGGATCATGAAAACATTATGTTTCTCACCATATGCCTTTGTTGGCATTATGTTTTCAGCTTTATCATCATTGGAATAATTTATGCTTTTGTCATCTGGTAAGTTATGATTTTCGTTTATGGAAGTTCTGTTGCCTGGTGTATGACCAACAAGACTTCATAGTATTGTACTTAAAATTCAAAGGGGAATTTAATTTTTAGCATTACATGAGACAGGGTGATAGCAGAAAATTATCTGCAAACACAGAAATTTCCAATAGAAAAAATAAAGGCTGGCTTAACATTAGAGTGGCTCAGCAGTGTCTCTGCTGAGCCTCTGACCTATGAATCACCCTTCAATGCCTCTTCTGTGCCTCCACGCCTTTGCACACTCTGGTCCCTCTTGTAAATGGCCCTCCCTGCACCTGCAGCGAGCGAGCCTTCTGTTTGCCCATGTGGCATCACCTATAGCACTTCCCAGACTTGGTGTCACTTTATGATGAATGTGTTTGTCTCTCATTGAATTTGAGTACCTGACTAATTTGACACTTACTCTGATATTCTAAAAGTAAGATTTTGTTGGACAACACATGTTTTTACAGGGACCCTGATACAATGTTTCATGATGGATGAGGAGCAACAGAGCTGACTGATAGGAACACGTATTCCTAGCTCTGCTGTTATCAGCTGTATGGCTTCAGGCAGATTATTTAACCATGTTAAGTCTCAGTTTTTCCTTTTTTGTTTTTGTGGGTTTTCTGTTTTGTTTTGTTTTGTTACAAATTGGGGACAGTAATAGTACCTAAATAAGATCATGTATTTAAACTGTTCAGGCCATAATAAGAGCTCAATGAAAGTTATTTTTAATGGTTGTTCTTGTTTTTTTCTTTCGTTATTCTTATTCTTCTCCTTTTTCTTCTGTATCAAAAGTGCATAAATACAGACCTTATGGGGAGAGGCAGATAATTTAAGTACAATGCAGTAAGTGGAAATACTAGAAGAATAAAGCACTTTTGGAGCTCAGAGGATGCCCCCTCACAATTGAGAATTAAGCTGCAGTTCGATAGATGAGAAGTACCAGAAAGCAGGGAACATAAGTCCTCTCTCTCAGGTAGCTAGTGCCAAACCACAGTTGATTGGCCTGGTCTGTCCTAACTCCTAGGCACGCAGCCTCCCATACCTGATCCTTCAGGCCTCTGCACTGATCAAAATGTTCTTTATCTGCCATCTTTATTATGGTAGTCATGAGCTACGTGTGGTTATTGAGCATGTCGCCATGTTCCTAGTGCCACATTAATTTTAATTGATTTAAACATCCACATTCATAGTGACCACCGTATTGGACAGTACCCATCTGGCAAGTTCTCTAGGGCAGGAGGTGCTTCTGGCCCAGTGGGGTCTCAGCCTTGGCCAAAGCTAGTTATTTTCTACTTTTCTCTCTAGACTTGTGCCCCTTGTCACCTCTCCCACTCCATGCTTTGAGCTTCTGAAACAGCTCTGGTGTTGATTCTCTGGGCAAGGAAACCATTAAGAAAATGGCTCCCACCTGTCTCTGCTAGGCTTTGGGTCAGCCCACTCCGACCTGTAGCTGCCTCTTTCTAGAGGTCTAAGTGCTTTGGGTGCTGGGAAATTTTATCTTTTCATTGATTAATTCCTATTAGTCTTATTCTGTCCCCACCCCTACCCCGCAAAGTATGTGCAGGAGCTGGTTGTTAAGGCTGGCTGAGTGAAACTTGGCTTCTTCCTCTGTTGTTCTAGGCTGACATCTGGGCCTCATCTACTTAGGGGCTGGGCAACCTCCAAGATCAATGCCGGCATTCAGGGAGCCTCTCTACCGCATGTCGGCTCATTTCCAGAGTCAAAAGAAGACTACTGTCTTTTCCTGTTTCAAAAACCTTCAGACCCCTAAAAACTCTCACACCCACTTACAGTTCTCTAGAAAACAAACACCATGTTTTTTTTTTCAACCTCTGAGTGCCCTCCCTTTAACCTTTTGTCTATATCATTCCCTCTACTGGGCATATCCAAATTAAATGCTTATCTCATCTACAAAAACTTCTGTGATTATTCTAGCCCTTGCTTATCTCTCTTCATGAGTTTTTATAGCCCTTCACTCTCCACCACACATTTTAACAATTGTGATCTATCACATGATATTTAAGCTTAGCGCTCGCTAGTCTTATCGGTGAGCTAGGTTGTGTTGCCGTGGGGAAAAGACCCTTTTCGTATTTCTCACAGCTCTTGACATGCTGTCAAACATATAGTAGCCACTCGATGAGGACTTAGTCTATTTTAATAGATCTCTTTCAGAGTTACTTGAACCTAGGCTTCATTTGTTTAGAAATCATGTTTTATATACTTTTAAGCTTTGTTCTCATATTGCTCTTGAAAACAAAAGACCGGGAGCTCATGTTCTGATGTATTTTGATATGAACTTAAGCTGTAGCTTAAAAAATATCATGAAGATTCAGTACTGACTTGCAATAAGGTCACATAACCAGCCAATTCTATCCTGTAATCCTAAGGAGCTTTGAAAATCTTTGTTGGGGCTTGACTGTCGAGTGCTTTAAGACTCAGTGACAGGTGATGGGTTTTCAGGACATTGTGTCAGGGTCTGTTTGACATGGCACAAAGATCGCCAAGGGAGCAAAATGGAGTTAGGGAGCCACTATCCTGAAATATCTGAAAAGTGAAACTGTAATCCCCAGTTTTCTGGAATGATAGTTCAAAGATTGCCTCATCCGGTCCCAGGCCTACAGCCTCGATTATGACAGCTCATAGGAGAAACCTGTCTGTTTGGAGATAGTATTACATATTTTACTGTATTTCATAATTAAATACTTCTGTTGCACAGAAGTATTTCAAAAGCCCTCTCTGTGAGTTGAGAAATATTGCCCATCTCCAAGTTGGTTTTCCAAGCAATGATATATGTGAGCCATTTTGAAGAACAAAACAGAGATGACAAAAGTCCAGGCATATGATAGTTTCCCTTCTAGAAGTTTGATTTCCAGATCAAGTTTGAAGTACACTCAGAGTCTCAGCTCTGCTCTTTCTCTTATTAATTGAGCAGAACATATGGGGACAAAAGCCCAGACACACCCTGACCTTATTTCCCTGAATTTGCCTCATTCCAGGACCTAGAAATTATTTGTATGTTCTGTTCTTACTCCATCCCTCAGTCTGTTCCCAGTGGCCTATGCCTAGAGCTACAGGGTGCAGACAAAGCCTGTTTAAAGTATCTGAACCTTCCTCATCTTGGTGGCTTGCAGCCACCACAGATACAGTCCATAGGGGAGGAAGTGGAGATGGGAGAAATCACTAGGGTCTCTGTTAACAATTACTTATAACAAGAGGCCATGTCTTTGTTTCATCTTCCACAAAAGTTACCAGGAATGAACCTAATGAATGAATTGCTTCGTTAATCCACTTCATTTAGCATTCACTGAAGTTGTATAATATGGAAATAACTGTGTGGGTTTAAAAAAAATGACACAAATGCTGCCCCAGACTTTAAATTCAGACTATTCATCTTTCATGAGAACAATGCCTTGAAGAGTTGAGGATGTTGAAAGCAACATCAATTGTCAATTAATAATCAAGACAAATGATTTTGAATTTTACTTGGCTCCTAATGAGTCAACAGATATTACTGAGTAATGCTCAGCTATTGTTATGTACTGGGGGAGTTAGTGCTGAGTTGGAAGTGACTGAAGAATCATGAATGATCTATGAAGAGGTGAGTAATATTAATTCCTGGCAGATTGCCCCAAAGGCCATTGATTTATCAACTATGTATTGAGCAAGTATTATGGGCCAGAAATTGTTTTAGACTTTGGTTGGGGTTATGTCGGTAAATAAGATGAGGTCTCTGCTCTTATGAAGCTTATATTCTAGTGGGCTTCAGAGCACAAGGAAGGACAACGCGTGCTGGTGGGAGCACGCCAGACCTTCACTGGAAGAAGAAGGAAGGCAGAAAATAAGGGTATAGATGCAGATAGTCCAGTGAAGTTTTTCACGAAACAAGGATAGTTTTTGATAATTTGGTTTACCAAGTTTGTTTGCGTATTCCTATGTATTTCTGGAATTAAATATGTTTTCTTGATATAGTCACAGTACAACGTGTTTACATAAACCATACATGGAAAAAACTTTTTCTAGTTCTCATTACATCAGAAAAGGGGAGGGCCTGCTGAGTTTCTGCTGCTAAGCAGCTTAGCATCTCCCAATGTCAAAAATTATAATTGCTGCTTCCCCCAATTCTACAGATTATCTTAATCTATGAGAATAGTCACAAGGGTGGAGTGCACTTCTAGCTTCTTTGTTCACTGTGGACCCTCCCAGGCAGCGGAGCTGCCTGTGGCCTGCACAGGAACACCTCTCTGAAGGTGCAAGTGGGAGCTGCCATGCAGCCCAGAGTTGACGTGGGGAGGGAAGTGCCCTTACGCACTTCCTTCCTGAAGACTGGCTCCCACTTGCAACATGCAGCCAGGTGCGGGCTTGGAAAAGCCTGGCTTAGCTTGGTTCCTTCCGGACCTCCTATAGCCCAGAGAGTCTCTTCTTTGTTTTAGAAATGATAAAAGTTTATGAATAATCAGACATCAGAAGATACCTAATTAAATAATCATTTAATGCATTCAAAGGCTATATTGCATCTGTTTACTTATTATGCCCTGCTTTAATCCATAAGAAAATTTCAGGGATGACCAAGGCCAAACAAAAGTGGGCTTCTCTTTTGGGCTGCCTCTCCCATTTGCACAAATAATTTGGAGTTTGTGGTAGTATACGTATGCATTGCTCTGGGTTTTTCATCTTAAACACCTTAACATGAGATGCCTCTCATTCTCCTCAGGTTGGTTAAATCTCGACTTAACAATTTCTGCCCCTCAGAAGTTGGACTCCTGAAAAATGTTGAACGAGAACAAGAATCAGAAGAAGAGATGTGATTTTTGATGGGCATCTAGTCTTTCTGGATGAACTTTATCTTTTTTGCATTGTTTTTATCCACAGTTTTGTTTCTTGATCTTTTGTTTGGCTAAGGATGATTCTTGGTATATTGGTTGTATTTAGAATTTTGTTAAAGTATTTGAATTTAAATGTTTTATTTTAGGTTTGAAAACACTTTAGATGATAAGTTCATTTTGTGCTCATTCTTGGTAGTCAGGGCCTGGAGTAACTGTTCCCACATCATCTAAAGTTTGTAGCTTATGCTATGAAACACATTCATTTTATTTGACTTGTAGATATGCTCAAGGTTCCCGGGCTTACTACCATTTGTAACTCATTAAACATAGAACTACACTTGTTTATCTTGTTGCTGTGATGAGAAATAAATGAGTACATGAACCTTGGCTCAGATACCTCAGGTCTTTGTTTTTGTTTCTCAGCTGCACCCCACCTTCACCTCATGAAGAAAAAGCTGTGTGACACTGAAATTCCTTTTCTTGTGAGACTTCTCTCTCTGTAGCACCTGAGTCCTCCTCTGGGGAAAGACAGCCGGAGCCATCCTGAGTTGTGCACTCTTTGAGAGAAGATAAAAGGGATGATCCCTAGAACATAAGGCTGTGAAGCCATAAGAGACTGGGAAAGGAGAGTTATATAGAGAGTAAAAGGCCATCAGTAGCGTAGTGTGGCCACTATACCATCCTCTCTGCTGAAATAATTGAAGGGTTAAAACAAGGAATGGCCTTTAATGGAAACTGTGGGTAAAAGTCAGAGCCCTTGCATAGTCTAAACAGACCCTGGTGGGGTCAGGAAATCTTGTTTCTAACTCCGGCTCTCCCACTAACCAGCCTCAAGGGCTTGAGCAGTCACCATACCCTTCTCTCTAAAGGAAAGGAATGGAATTGGGTGAATCATGGGGCCCTTTCTGAATGTCACAGATTATAAATCTAGAGTCACTGAGACAAAACTGAAGCATGGAGATAGCTAACTTTGTACAATTTTCATTGAAAAGGCCAGTCTCTGCTGGGACGGAAAAGGTAAGGGGGCTTTGGGCATCCTCCAGGGGTGATTCAAAGATGGAGGAAAAGGAGCTGTCTTGTGGGCAGCTGGAGGTGAAATGTGGGCAATGAACTACGTCAGGCTCTCTGGCCTTCCAGTGTGCTGACAAATCCAGAGGGCTGCCCCGGTCTGGTGAGATTGCAGTGGCACTGACAAGGGAGGTGAGTGGATGGTTTACACCAAAGAACTGGACTCATTCTTTTTTTTTTTAGGTTAATTTGACTTAGTAATTTTTTAATTTTCCTTTTTCCTATACAACTAGCAACTGCTTAAATTCTTAGTTTATAAAAGTGATGACGGAAAGATGTGCTGTTTTTGTTTTCCAGGAAAGCATTTAGGAAGGTCTAAACCAAGGGTATCAAACTCATTTTCACCGGGGGCCACATCAGCCTCATACTTGCCTTCAAAGGGCTCAATGTAATGTCAACTCCTTAACAGTTAAGGAGTAGTTACATTTATACAGTCCTAAAATTATTTTGGCCCTTTGAAGGCAGCCATGAGGCTGATGTGGCCCCCAGTGAAAATGAGTTTGACACCCTGGTCTAAACAATGCAATACAGAGGGTGATCATCTACTACAGCTCACTGGGTGTGTTAATGAAAGAACTAAAGACATAAAGGTTATCGAATGAACAAATAATTTCAGACACTTGGTATTCCTTCTATACACATTAGCTTTTCTATCAACCAGTTTGCAGACACAGTCATTTTTTCAAATGAAAGATCTGAAAATGGTTGATGTGACTGCGTTTCCGGCGTGGGAAATGTCCATGTGCCACGGGCCTCAGGTGATCATGGCCTTGCTTCTGCCCATTTGTGTCCTGTATCTCATGGCTCTTTTCTAGTCCAGCAAGTTTCTATGACCTTGGCAACTTTGTGTTTCAAAAGAGTGAGCCATCAAAAAGGTGCAGGGATTTAGCAGTACAAATCCGTAGTTACAGATTAGTCATGGGGATGTAAAGTACAGCACAGAGATATAGTAAATACTAGTTTAATAACTCTATATGGTGTCAGATGGGTACTAGATTTATTGGGGTGACCACTTCATAAGTTATATAAATGTCTAATCATGAGGTTGTACACCTGAAACATATAATACTGTATGTCAACTATAATTTAAAAATGAGAGAATTTAAAAATGAGAGAGAGAGAGAGAAAAGAGTGAGCCATCAGCTGCAATTACATGAAAATGGCAGTTCTGGTATCCAGGCCTGAGAAGAAACTCTAGGAATAATTATGAACCAGGTTAAGGCTGGATTTTGAAAACTATAAATGCAAATATTCCCAATCTTTATGAGAGAGCAGAAATGTCCATTCCTCTACTCTCTGCACAGAGAGAACACGAGTGAGAGGCAACCCAGTGAGTTCTCAGGGGAGGAACATTTGGTTCAGATCTAAGTCCATAGTCTGGGGCTTTCTGCCTCTAGTACCTGAAATCAGGAATAAATTTGAACACCATTGTTTTAATTTTATGGAAGCCTTCACAAAGGAAGAGGTTGGAGGAGAGTGCCTTCCCTTTTATTTGTGTTTTATCACAACTCTTCCAAAAACGCGGGGTCTCATTCCTGAGCTTTTCCCAACCCCACATTCGTGGGTATCCCATGCTTCATTTCACTGTATTTTATTGTGTTTCAAAGTAAAGAAACTCTTTAAATAACTGTGTAAAATCAACATTGGCTGTTGATGTGATACCAACTCCTTGGTGATTTCTGTAGCCTTCAATCTCCTTTGCTTGGGAAACAGCAGCCTCTGATTGCATTAACTTCCAGCTCATTGTTGAAATGGGAGGTTGGGTCATGACCATCTTGATGTACTCCTTATCACCCTTTGTTACTATAGGGCTCACCACTCAAGGCTGTGTTGATTGTATCTTGGTTGTGGATAAATCAGAGTGCATGAGTCACTCGGGACAATAAGAACAATGAAAATAAAAGCTGAAAAGTGAGGTATCCCAAAGTATAAGAAATCAATAGATAAGAAGTATAAAAGTTCTTATATATGGAGAATAGATCTAGAAATTCTGTATTCTGACTAATGTGAATACCAGATGGAGAAAATTGAGAGAATAAAGATAAAAAGCATGAGATAAAGCATGAAATAATAGGAAAGAATTTTGCCTAAATAAATGGCAATAAAGGAAGATTTTTGCTTTAAGCTTGGAGAAACATGCAGTGAATAGAATGACTGGGTTTCTGGACTAAACTAGCAAAATTGAGAAAATTTAATTCTTATAGCTCTAAGTTCAATTTATGAATATTAGCATTCTATTTTAATTTAAGTACATTCTTTTTTATGTTCATGATAATATAGTTTATTATATTTTTATGAGTAGGGTGAAATACTATCATTTTAATTATATTTTCCTGATTATGCTATTACTATTGTCCCAGTGTTTTACCCCCTCAGTCCCCCCTCCATCCAGCACTACCCACTCCTCAGGCAGTTCCACACCCTTGTTCATGTCCATGGGTCCTGTGTATAAGTTCGTTTGCTTCTCCATTTCCTACACTGTACTTTACCAATTTGTCTTCTTAATCTGCCCACCTCTTCACCCATCCCCCCACACCATCCTCCCATCTGCAACCATCAAAATGCTCTCTGTATCCATGATTCTTCTGTTCTTGTTTGCTTCATTTTTTAACTTCAGTTGTTGATAGATATGTATTTGTTGTCATTTTATTATTCACAGTTTGATCTTCTTAAATAAGTCTCTTTAATGTTTCATATAATAATGGTTTGGTAATGATGAACTCCTTTAGTTTTTCTTGTCTGGGAAGCATTTTATTTGCCCTTTGATTCTAAATGACAGCTTTGCTGAATAGAACAATCTTAGGTGAAGGTCCCTGTTTTTTGTCACTTTGAATACTTCTTGCTAGTCCCTTCCTGACCGCAAAATTTCTTTTGAGAAATCAGCTGACAGTCTTAGAGAATTCCCCTTAGATAACTAACTGCTTTTCTCTTGCTGGTTTTAAGATTCTGTCTTTACATTAAACCTTTGGCATTTTAATTGTGATGTGTCTTGTTGTGGGCTTTGCTGTATCTGTCTTGTTTGGAACTCTCTGTGCTTCCTGGACTTGCATATCTATTTCCATCTCCAAATTAAGGAAGTTTTCTTTCATTATCTTTTCAAATAGCTTTCCAAACTCTTGCTCTTTCTCTTCTCCTTCTGGCATCCCTATGATGAGAATGTTGGTCCTCTTGAAGTTGTCCCAGAAGCTCCTTATACTATCCTGTTTTGGGGGGCTCTTTTTTCATCTTGTTCTGATTGGTTGTTTTTTTCTTCTTTATGTTCCAAATCATTGATTTGGTTCTTGGCTTCATCCTCTCTACTGTTGTTCCCTGTAAATTGTTCTTTATTTCAATTCATGTATTTTTTGTTTCTGACTGGATCTTTTTTATGCTGCTGAGGTCCTTGTTAAGCTCCTTGAGCATCCTCATAACCAGTGATTTGACCTCTGCATGTGACAGATTGCTTATCTCCATTTTGTTTAGCTCTTTTTCTGGACTTTTGACCTTTTCTTTCATTTGGGCTATGTTTCTTTGTCTCTTCATTTTGGCAGCCTCCCTCTGTTTTTTTCTGTGTATTATGTAGAGCTGCTATGACTCCCCATCTTGGTCATGCGGCCTAATGTAGTAGGTGTCCTGTATGGTCCAGTGGCACAGCCTCCCCCATCACCCAAGATGGGTACTTGAAGTGCACCCTCCATGTAGGCTGAGTACAGATCCCTCTTGTAGTTGAGTCTTGATCATTGTCGGCAGGTCAATGGAGGGACTTACTGAAATCAGTCACCTTCAAGGACTGGTGGTAACTGCTGACTACCAACCTCCATCCTCCAGGGAGGATCAGCTGTGTAGGGGCAGGGTGGTGGTGCTTCACTGAGGTCTGTAGTTGTCCACCAGATACTCAGGCTCTGGGGTTTCCCAGGTGGTACAGGCCAAGGTCAGCCACCACCTATGTTCTGCCCTAGGCTACCCAACATGAACTACAAAGCAATCTGCAAATGGCTGCTATTTGTGCTGGGCTTGAGGATTCCCAGGTGAAGCCAAGCTGTGAACCTTGGCTGGCTGCTGCTAGTGCTGGGCGTTGGGTCACTCAATAAGAGGTACAGGGACTGGGGGCTCACTGAGACTGGCTGATCCTTGTTTGAGAGTATTTAGGAAGACATGAAGCATGAGTAAAGACAAGCCACTTAGAAGGAATAGTCACTGTTAACAGTCTAAGTGGGACCATAAGTTGGTTGCGGTAGAACCTCAGGGAATCACCAGGTGGGATAAACAGTGTAATCCAGCCTGATAGAGTCTCAGATGTGACACCTGCCTACTGGCTCTGTGGCTCTGTGGGTGGAGGGTTCAGAA